CCTACAGGCCCAAATCCATCAGCCCTAAACCCTAAACCCTAATCCCTCAACCCTAAAACCATAAAATCCTGCAGGTCAGTTCCGGTTTGGACTCGCTGGTGCTCGGCGAGGCTGGAATCTTGGAGGGTTTGTTAGGGGCTAAGGGTTTTAGGGTTTCGGATTTTGGGCTTTGAGGGTTTAGGGCTTTGGGGCTTCAGGATTTCGGATTTCGAGTTTGAGGATTTTGGGGGGTTTGGGGTTCAGAGCCTTAGGAATTGAGGGTTTAGACTTTGTGGTTTAGGGCTTTAGGGTGTTTAGACTTAGGTTCCGCCGAATAATTAAACCCTAAACCCTACCCTTAAACCCCAAGTAAGACCTTAGACCCTAAACCCAAAGCATATAAGCCTAAATCCTAAACCTTAGACATCCCTAGTCCCTAAACACTATAAGCCGAAATTGTAAACCTTCACCCGGAAACCCTAATACCCCCAAACACTGAATTGAACGCTATAGGCCCTAAGCACTACGTAGTCCGCTTCATGCAGTGCCTTTTTGCTGGTTGCCTTAGGTCCCTTATGCTAGGATCCCAGCCATAGAATAAGTTATTCAATACTCCATCTAAGGATCTAGGTAACCCTATAGGCCCCAAACCCTAAACTCAAACTAAACCCTAAACCCTAAACTTAAATTAAACCCAAAACCCTAAGCTTAAATTAAACCCCAAACCCTAATCTTAAATCAAACCAAAAAGCCTAAACCCTAAACTTAGTTTAAACCCTAAGGCCTAAACTTAATCTAAACCCTAAACCCTAAACCCTAAGCTTAAATTACACCCCAAACCTAAACCCTAAACTTAAATTAAACCCTAAACGTAAACCCTAAACTTAAACCCTAAACCTAAACCCTAAACCCTAAACCCTAAACCTAAACTTAATTTAAACCCTAAACCCTCCACCTAAGTTAAAGCCTAAACCCTAAACCCTAAACTTAAAATTAAACCCTGCACCGTAAACTTAACTTAAACCCTAAGCCCTAAACCCTAAACTTAAATCAAACCCTAGACCTAAACCCCCGAAGCATCGAAGCTGCGAGGCTCAGATCCTGGCGCAGGTGAAGGCATGCCATGCCCACTGCATCGCCAAGGGCGAGGAGGGAGACGAGGAGGGGCTTTGGGGCGGGAAGGATTCCTCCTTAAGGGGTTTGGAGTTTAGGGATTTAAGCTTTCTAAACCCTAAACCCTAAACCTTTTTTGGGTCTTAGGGCTTGGGGTTGAGGGATTTCAAGCCCTAAACCCCTTTTTTAGGGTTTAGGTGTTTAGGGTTTATAAGGTTTTAAGGGCTGCTTTAAGTGTTCTAGATTTTTTTTGACATAGGTGTTTCCCAAAGAGCTCTATGCGGGTTCCTTTCAGAGTTCTCTAAGGGTCCCTTCAGGCTCAGGGTTTAGGGTTTAGGGATCTTTCGTTTTTTTTTGGTTCAGGGTGTACGAAATTTAGGGGGTGTGGGAGTTTATGGTTTAGGATTGAGGGTGTAGGGTTCAGCGGGGAGCCAGGGCTGTACAGTTTAGGGTTTTGTGGGCGTTCTGGTTTCTGTGGTCGAAAGGCCGATTTGCGGCTTCTTTTGCCGCGCTTCGCCAGGACTTCTAAATCCCAAAGCATTGCCCTAGCTTCTAAGTAAACCCTAAACCCTAAACCCTCAACCCTAAGCCCGAGCTGGTATGCCTTAAACCCCAACTCCCTAGTCTGAGTACTTCCCTCGGTACCGATGCATTGACCCGCGAATGCTTTTGAGCGGCTCAAGTCCTAAACCTCTTCAAACCCTCCAGCTCCAAACAACAAACTTATAAATCCCCGATCCTGGAACCTCCATTCCTGAACACTAAGGCTCCAAAACACAAAGCCTCAAACGCTGAACCCCAAACCATGAACCTTAAGCCCTCAACCCTGAACCTACACCTCCAAACCCAAGAAGCCGACCATCATTGAAAGGAACCGGTGCCTGGCTCTGGCGGAAAGATCATCGCGAAGATGTTGAATGCCGGAATTCGGCACGGGCCTTAAAACTGCAACGTTCATGAAGTCATCTAGAGCCTCGGTACCCTAAGACTCAAGTATATGGATCATACCTACCGTGGGGTCCACAGTTCATAAGCAATGCCTTCGTGCTGCTTGGAGTGTTGGGGTCAGTGTGGGGTAGGAGACTGCGCTGTGATTGTGTACCGCAGGAACCTCAGAAGGTCACAAGGGAGGGTTTAGGGGGGGTTTAGGGTTTAGGGGTGTAGGGTTTATAGGAGTTTAGGGTTTAGGGGTTTAGGGTTTGTAGGGGTTTAGGGCTTAGGGGTGTAGGATATACTAAAGCACTTGCTGTCCCATAATATCATTGAACCCAGATTTCCGCGACGCTGGACCGTAATCCTAAAGCCTCCACAGTAACCTGACCAAGAAATCTCTTGTCATTTCGTACCAAAACCCACTTGGACCCTACACCCTCAACCCTAAGCTGTGACTACTTGGACCATGAAGGTAAACCCGCAAGCTGAGAGCTTGGAATAGAAGACAGCGGCTTAGGGCTTAGGGTTCACATGTCGCCTAAACCCTAAACCCTAAACCCTAAAACCCTAAAGCCGTAAAAACCCTAAAACCCTAAACCTAGGGATGTACCTCGAACTCCGGAGGCGATCCCTTCGCAGGTTTTATCTGTAGCTCTCTGGAGTTGCCGGCTGAGGCTTAGTGCGTGTACTCCAAGGTCCCAAAGCTCTGAATCCTTGGGCTAGCATAGACTAAGCTTGAATATCTACTGATACAAGTCCTTACAGTTGCTTCGATACAACCATACAATCTTATAAAGCGGCGCCAAACCCTGTTAAAATTCATTCCCCCCCCCCTATTACAAAGGCCCTCAGCCGAGCCTCCACGCCCCAAAGCTTATCCTCGACCCCCTGGTGCGAGCCAGCAACAGGCATCCCGACACCCTCCTAAATATTAAACTCCTAGACTCTAGAGCCTTATCCCAAAGCACAGAACCCCCAAGCACCAAGCCTTGATAGAACCCGTATAAATTATAGTGCCCTTGTAGAAGCCTGTAGTACCAACCCTCAAAACAGACTGCTCAGGATCGGCAAGCTCGTGAGGACACGAACCAAGATTGGAAAGGGCAGCGGCCTCGGTCCACGGGTCAGGGTCGGGTTCTTGGGGCTCAAGGTTTAAGTTAAGGCTTTGGCCTTAGGATGTGGGGGTTTAAGGTCAAGTTCAGTGTTTCGGGTTTATGGACTTCAGGTTTCGGGGCCGTTCCACATCGACGGACATAGTTACCCGCAAGTTTCAGTTCAACCCTGAACTCTAGAAACCCTAACTTACTTGACGTGAGCTAGACCATACTTACTGTGCCCACAGTATGTCTGTTGCATGCAATCCCCGAGATTTGGCAAAGAAAGACCAGGACAACACACCCTATACCTGAGATTTTTTTCCGAGACTGTCTGCAGGATTTGGGACGTTTTGGTTCTGGGGGCTCTCCGAGAAAGACGTGGGTGTTTCCGGCAGATCATAAGGGGCCTTTGCGCAAGCCGCAAGCCTATCTTGTGACGATGTTGGCCCAAGATCACGAACCAGAACTGTTGAAGCATGCCCAATCCAGTTTGGCCTCTACCCATAAGGCTCCAAAGTAGTTCCTTTTTGGGATTACCTTATAGGATCCTAAATATGAATCCCAAAAAGGAACTACCATGGAGCCTATGGGTAAAGCAAAGAATTCCCATGAAGTTCACTCTCTGAGGCTCAGTCCCAAAGCTTCACCGGTCTGCTAATCCTATGCTAAAATCGGCTGACAAAGCCCGAAGGGTCCAAGAATCCTATGCTACTGACCTACAAGGTAAGTGAGGAAACCGAAACCCAGGTAAGTGTCTATGTTGAAGTCCAATGATCAGGCACTTGGGGTTATGATCGTGGCGAGGTAGGTTCGTTTGTTGGGCAGTATATCCTTAAGAGGTGCTTGGGCCCTTAATGTTGGGCAATATATGCTTGGAGGTGCTTGGACCCTTAAGGCAATGCTCCAACAGACTGAGGCTCCGTGTCCGTCTCCAGCGCCGCTGTGGAGCTGATGATGTCGAGGCTTTACTTTGCGGTTTTGGGCTTCAGATGCCTTGGGGGCTCCAGGGAAGTTCCATACTTGGTAGCACTGTTCCGCAGAGTTTCTTAGTATGTGGTGTTATGGTCTAGCAGAATTCATCTCAGAAACTCTGTTCGTTCTTCGTCTTGGGCTTTGGCTCTTAGGGTTCGGAGGCCGTGAGGCCGCCGATTTACGGGCTTACGGTGCTAGATTTGACAATGACAGGTCCAGGGTTTAGGGTTCAGGGTGCAAGGAGTTGCAGAAGGAGGGTTTGAAAGGCTTCGGGGGCTTAGCCGTGCGATTTGGGAGTTGAGGATTCAAGGCGTCATGCAGCTTGAAGTCCATAATTAGTGCTGCAGGGTGTCGAAAGCCGTGAAGCCGCAGTGGATTTCCGAGCGATGTTGTGTAGGTTGCAGTGGTCGAGGTTGCTGTTCAGTCAGAGTGCGCCTTGGAGTTAGATCCTTTACAAACTTGCTTTGGCTGACGGTTTGGTGGAAAGAGTTGCTGTGCTGAGAAGGGTATGGATTGTACAGGCAGATGGTCGGAGCTTGCAATCCTGGTCTTGCCTCTGACGGCAGCGTTCTTTGACTGTGCGTTGAATTCACTAACCTCGCCCAAGCGTACTTTCGAGGTAGATAGAGGGTAGTAACTCACCTGGACATAGGGTTGACATACTTAAGGCAAAACGCTTAAAGCCGTTGGCAGACTCGTAGATCAAGCTTTGCCGACGGCACATCTATACCTTGCACCCTACAGCCCTGCAGGAACACACCCAGGCGGACTCTAGCGCCGACATGAAGCATCATAACAATCATACTCAATGTAGTAATGTTATAAGTATGTAATTAGTGACTGAGTATGTGCCATGTCACGTCGACTCTGTGACTCTATGAGCTCCCTTGGCACCCTTTTGCGCAGGTCCATGCAGGACCTGCGAAAGCCTGCTGGGAAGGTGCATGCAGCTTGGCTGTCATTTCGCCGCACGACGGTTGAAGTCTGCGACTCACTAGCAACGTGTCAACGACGAATACTTATGTTGGCATCTCCGTGAATGCAACAACTCTTTTGTTGTTGGTCACAACTAGTCTTTGGCCTTGCCGTTGTGATTATTGATGTTTGTCCGTCCTTTACTATCAGGTCTGCATCGTCGGGGCGGGGAAGATGTCCAGGCGCACCGACTTGTTGTAAAGCCTTTGTGCAGGGAGATGCAGACATGCATGTTTCCCGTGGCTTCTCCGTACACCGCAGCGTTAAGACAAATGGAGACTGTATCATGGACGACCGCTTGCGGCCGCATCTCTTGGTCATGTCTTCTGGTGTGCGCGGGCAGTTTTGGTTTCTATATAGGAGTGAAATAGCTAACTGATACTTCGCAAACTGCTCGCGTCCACAGCTTTGGGGAAGGCTAATGTCATTCATGCGCTTACGTAGACGTTGCTGCATCGTGAATCAAATGAATCAAATGCCGGTCCAATGTTGGAGTTCCCGGATAATTCCTCAGCCTGCAGAGCATCATGCGTTCTCACGTGTACTCAACCTGAAAAGCAGTCTTGGCGAATTTGCGAGTGCAGCGTTTTTTTTTTGGCTTTTGTCATTTCGCAAGGCTTTGCCTGCTTGCGCTCTTCAGCAAGCATCCGGACATCAAGGTCACGTTGGTGAACCGTTCCGTGGACAAGGCCCGTCCGCTCGATTCTCATTGCCTCTGCCGCATACTGTAATTATGCCTGGACCCCAGAAACTTGCGACTGATTTATAGGTAAGGTCCGATAAATGAGAAGCTAAGACAACCACAAGCAGGTACTTAATTTTCTCTAGTGAGTCATACAATGTTATGCGCGAGGCTGATGGTTGATAAATACAGGCAAGCTTACACTGCAGGTTCTTACGATCGGCTGTTTGCTTTTCCGGTCTCCTTTGAGACCAATGTCATGCTTGTGGAATTGTGTGCTGCGGACAAGTGTATTGGGTGGTATCGGCAAACTTTGCCTCTCTAGTGACGAGTAGGTGTACATGCAGGCACCGCAATATCAGACACAAGACTTCTCAGCAAGCAAACCTCGAAAACCCAAGGCGCACATTCGAAACCCTGAGCCCTAAACCCTAAACCCCTAAGCCCTGAGCCCTGAACCCTAACCCCACACTGAGCGACATCCTTCTTGCAAGGCACAGGCGGTGCTTGACGACGACCTCGTGAAGGCTCGTGGAGGCACCAATGCCACAGCAAGGCACCCAGAGGCTTTAGGGCTTAGTTAGGGGTTTAGGGTTTAGGGTCTAGGGAGTTAGTTACCCTAATGGGATCTATAGTAAGTAAGTAATAGGATTGCTTGATATGGCAACGTAAACTAATTATTTCCCTTAACAAGAACCGGTCTGCTGGCCGACCGAATCAGAGAACTTAGGCCTTGAAGCTTAGGGTTTTGGGGTTTAGGGGTTTAGGCTTAGGGTTTGGGGTGGGGGCAGCCAAGTCAAAACTTTGGTGGTTTTGGGCGAGTGGCCGTTTGAGCCTCAATAATAGTCGATCTTTGATGTGCCGCAGGGGGTCACATGGGGGTTAGGTTGAGGACTATAGGGCTTATGACCCACATGTTGCACCAGAGTATCGAGAGTGTTGGGGTTGACACAGCTATTCTGGCCAGCAGATCTCGTGACCACCCTGGAAACCTTGGACCCTCAACCCCCAGGCAGCAGTTGCTGTAAATCCTGAGCCGTTTTTAGATAAAATCTCAAGCCGGAACCCTGCACCTATACCTACCTGTAGACCAAGCCCTGCAGCACTGGAGGTTGTGACTCCTTTATCATAGGGTGTAACCATGAAAACAGTAGGTGTTTTGGGATCCCCTGGTATACCCTGCTGACCCCAAGCTCTAAACCCTAAACCTTCGCGTCCGAGGTCGCCAGCATGGACGACATGTTCGAGGTGATGAAGGAGAGCGACGTGGTTTTCACGGCCACTGGTAGCGAGGTGCCCGCCCATGCACAGGGATAGACGACAAGAAATCCAAGTCTTGATTAGGTCTTTCGGGCTCCCGGTAATCCCAGAGTTTATACGGTATATACACCCTAGTAGCCGTCTTCAGCTGAATCTGCTCTCAATCGACGGGCGAGCTCGAGCGACTGACTTGACGGGAGCATCTGTATGCGAGTTCGGAGGTTCAGGCTGCGCGCCTTGAGACTCGGGTTTTTGTTGTCCAAATTGTGGGTTCTGTCAACACCCGCACTTCGTTCACAAATAGCCGGCGTCCATGTGGATCCAAACTCTGAAACATCTAAACCCGAAAACACTGTCCCAACCCTACCAGCCCCAAACCAGATAAACCCTAAAGCCCAAACCCTTTTCTATAGTCCTTTGCATATCCGGGCAGACCTCCGATCGACTAAAGATTAGCCGAGCTGTCAGATGGCGAGGTGAGGCGGATGATGGCCCCGATTCATGAAACCAGTATTAAGCTATAATCCATCAACCGTCTTTTTATCGAGAAACATCAACGTGGGGGGGGTCTTGTTGTTGAGACCCTCGCTTACAGAATTGGGAGTGTGTACGTCACGGGTGATATGCTGGCTGCTGGCTCGTCCAATCAGGGGCTGCACGGGTGTTTGGTCTTGTTCAGCCCTGAAGAAAGCCCTAAGCCCTAAACACGTACGGTTTGAGTAGCACCCCAACCATGAGCACCGAATCAGGTGCCGATCATCCATGCCCCGGACGTGGAAGGACCTACGAAGACGATGTACTCGTCTCTGATCACCTGTTTGGGATTACCATGTTACTAACAGGTTATGTTGCCTCTAGGCTCCTAGAACAAGAAAATTGGGTAACAATTATATGCAACAGTTCGACTTCTAGGTATGCGGAGTGGTCGACAGGTTGATCGTACCATGGACCTTACATCAGTCATTGGGTCGCTGCTTGTTGGGTTCAGGGTTTAGGCTTAGTTGGGTTCGGTCTGCGCAGCGGCTATTGTGTCTGGCATGAACTGGTTGGGAGTTTGGTAAATTACAGGACCCCAGTATAGAACCCTTAAAAACCGGGTCCTTTCGCTGCCTAAACTTAAGCAAGGTAGACCTGAATTTGAAGACCACCCATTTCTGAAAACTGCATCGTCCAGGGCCCCAAAGGTTGCATTCGTTGAATCCATGGACCGGTTGTTTTAATATACAGGAGCGCCACAATTCGAGTCGTCGCCTGCCGGAGGAAGCTCAAATCCCAAACCCGTAAACCCGAACACAAGCCTGAAATTGCAAAACCCTTAAACTCGACAGCCCCCGATCCTAAAGCCCAACACCCAACGCAGGCGAAACCCCAAAACCATCCAAAACCCCTTGAAAGCATCAAAGACCTGACCCATGCAAGTGTCCCTAAACCCTAAACCTTTGTACAAACCCTAAAGACCCTAGCTGACCCTAAGCCCTATAAATCCTAGAGGCCACTATAAACCCTAAGCCCTCGAAGCCTAAAACCCTGAACCCCGCAAATCTGCTGTTATTGAGTGATGAGCAACGGTGCAGGACGCGAGCGGCCTCTTATGCTCATCGACATTTCCGTGATTCTGCTGGTTTGTTTTCACTTCCGATGTTATTTATTGGTTGTGATTATTTGGTGTTATTTGTTCGGGGGTGGGGGGGGGGCGTTAGTGTTTGGATTTGGGGTCGGTGAGTTTCGGGTTGTGGGTTTGGATTTGGCTTTTCGCTAGTTTATGTTGATAGCTCTGTGGCAATGGGTGGTGTAGTCTAGACAATCGTGAAGACGAAGCCTGTGAAGCGCGGAGGCTGCCGCAAGAAGGTTCAGGAAGATGAAGTGGGAACGAGGATGGCTCAGCTTTTATGCTGAGCGAGCTGATCAGGGACACCGAGGACCAGCCCAAGCACGTGCTGATCGCTACGCTTGGGTTGGGGAAGCTCGAGGACTCCCACAGAGGCAGTGGGGTCTACAGAGGGCTTACAAAGCTCATAAAAGGGTTGCCGAAAGGGACGAGAAGCACGATGAGGACGTCCTCCTCGAGAGCCTTCGGCAGAACTTCCCCCAGCTTCGCAGCTTCGACAGCCAGGTGCTGTTCCTCGATTGTCGGGATATGCATGACCCGGGCAAAGACAAAAGCATCCGGGATCACCTCGGCACGTATCCTCCAAACATCAGCGACATGGTTCTCAACCCGAGGAAGAGCCAGAAGTGGCTGGCGTTTGCAAAGGAGGTTCTGCCTGCGGTTCCCGAGAGCACTGCATGTGCCGGCCGCCGCCGTGGCAAGGAGAGCTGTATACAGCCAACATAAAGAAAGCCCTACCCCAGATGATGTCTTGATTGTTTGACTTGAGGATGCCCATATGTACATATGTATGTAGGTTGCTTCCATGAGAACAGAACCCATTCCCTCTAAAGCATTTTTAGATGCTTTTTAGTTGTCTGAACTCATAGTACTAAAAGCCCCCGTAATAGTCCCTACAAGATTGTGCATTGAAATTCCCTTCTTCAAATCCTGTCGAAATTATAAAAGCCCTTGCAGGACCCCTTCGGTTTGCCCTCTTCCAATTCTGAAGGGCCTTTGGGTTAGCAAACTCTCGACCTGCCATCCGTTCAGGGTTTAGGGTTCAGGG